GGGGAGAGGGACGGAAGGACGGAAGAAGGGAGAGAGGGAGGGAGGGAGGGGGGGGTGAGAGGGAAGGAAGAAGAGAGGACGGGAAGGGAGGGAAGGTGGGAGGGAGAGAGGGATGGAGGGACGGAAGGAGAGAGAGAAGGAGGGAGGGAGGGAAGAAGGAAGGTGAGGGGGTGGGTGAGAGGGAAGGAAGAAGAGAGGACGGGGGGTGGGGAGGGAGAGAGGGACGGAGGAAAGAAGGAAGGAAGGAGAGAGAGAGAGAGAGAGAAAGAAACAAGTCTAAGATGAAATGAAGGGGACAGCTTTCAATAAATTGGCATTGGGTTCTTGAAGACTTATGAACCAGATTTGCAAATGAAAATAAAAATGAGGACTTTTGTAATGATTAATGGTAAAGCTGTATGGCACTATCTGCAGTCTGAAATGGAGCACGGGTAATTTAGGCCTTTAAGAACATAATTCTGGCTCTTGTCACAAACTTCACTGGTCATTATATCATGATCAAATTTACATAAAAGTCAACATGTGGCTGACTCTCTCTCATTCTCTCTCTCTTGTTATCTCTCTTTCTCGCTTTCTCTCTCTCTTCCTCCCCTCCCCCCTCTCTCTCTCTCTTGCTCTCGCTCGCTGTGTGTGTGTGTGTGTGTGTGTGTGTGTGTGTGTGTGTGTGTGTGTGTGTGTGTGTGTGTGTGTGTGTGTTGTGTGTGTGTGGTGTGTGTGTGGTGCGTGCGTGCGTGCGTGCGTGCGTGCGTGCGTGTTGTGTGTGTGTGTGTGTGTGTGTGTGTGTGTGTGTGTGTCCGTATGCATACAAAAGGAAGCAAGTCACACAACCCCACACTAACACCAACAAATACGCAAAAATCGCCTGCAACATCACAAAAAGCAACCAAAGGGGTAGCATGAGTCATCAGAACATAAATCATAAAATTATCTAAATAACGATCCATATGTGTAAACAAATGACAGACAGAATGCGCATGAAGGAACAGGAAGTGCGATGGCATACAGGAAGAAGACGGTAGGAGGGAGGGAAGGAGGGAGGACGGGAGGGAGGAAGAGAGGATGGGAGGGAAAAGGGGAGGGTGGGAGGGAGAGAGGGATGGAGGGACGGAAGGAGGGAAGGACGGAGGGAGGAAGAGAGGATGGGAGGGAAAAGGGGAGGGTGGAAGGGAGAGAGGAAGGAAGGAAGGCGGGTGAGAGAGAAGGAGGGAAGAGAGGACGGGAGGGAAAATGGGAGGGTGGGAGGAGTGGGAGGGAGAGTGGGGCGGAGGAGGAAGGAGGGAGGAGGGAGAGAGGAAGAGAGGACGGGAGGGAAAGGGGGAGGGAGGGAGGAAGAGAGGACGGAAGGAGGAGGGAGGAGGAAGGAAGGGGGATGAGAGAGAAGGAAGAAGAGAGACGGGAGGGAAAAGTGGAGGGTGGAAAAGAGAGAGGGACGAAGGAAGAAAGGAAGGAAGGAGAGAGAGAGAGAGAGAGGAGAAGAGAGAGGAGAGAGGAGAGAGAGAGAGAGAGAGAGAGAGAGAGGAAGAGAGAGAGAGAGAGAGAGAGAGAGAGAGAGAGAGAGACAGACAGACAGACAGACAGACAGAGACAGAGACACAGACACACACAGAGGCAGCGATACAGAGAGAAAGAGACACAGACAGACGGCAGACAGACATGATCTACAAAGTGAAATCAGTATAATGACACTTGGTCCAGCGGGAATTTCTAGTGTCTCTCTTTCTCTCCCATTCGTCCGATGAATTTCGACAGCTGTCCGGGGCTGTTTTCGCGGGGGGGGGGGGGGGGAGTCAC